CACACAAACTTTGAGGAATGATGAGTGATTCTGGTTGGTTGGTTGTTGCTGCTGCTGCTGCTGCTGTTGTTGTTGTTGTTGTTGTTGTTGTTGTTGTTGTTGCTGCTGCTGTTGTTGTTGTTGTTGCTGTTGATGTTGTTGTTGTTGTTGTTGTTGTTGTTGTTGTTGTTGTTGTTGTTGTTGTTGTTGTTGTTGTTGTTGTTGTTGTTGTTGTTGTTGTTGTTGTTGTTGTTATTGTTGTGAATAATATTGAGCATTCACCCCACATACTCCCCTATGTTTGTGAGACATTAGCATAGGAGGTGCATAGAAAGCAGTTGGCTAAATTCCGAAAAGAAGAGTTGGGGAGAGTTGAAAAAGGCTAAAAATATTGTGATTGCACAAGCCGGGACACTTTGAGAGGCAAACTTAGATGCACGTTACTCTACCAAATCATTCCGACTACAGCTGTTGCAAAGCGTATGCAGAACGACATACGCTTGCAGTGTCGAACGCCAAGCAGCTTCACACCCTTACACAAGGCCTTGCAGCACTTTTGTATGGACGTTTGTATCAACGGTGGATTACAGTGCAGGAAAAACCTGCCCTAACCGGACGCCCTTGGTGCAGCGGAAACTGTCCCGACATGACAGGACTCCACTTGATCCAGGGATGCAAGTTCCATCCACAGCACGTTGACGCACGAAAATTTGTCCGTTCAATACAGGAACCCACGTGGCACAGGGTCCGGTGGACGCAGGTTATACTGATATATCCATCGGTCTAGATTTCACATGCCACATCTGTCATCACCATGCAGCCTCAATGAAACACTTCCCAGGATCCTAACCCCGATTCGTGCATGGGTTTTTGCACCATTCCTTACTGATACGCTAGGCCTCCGTGAACCGATATTATTGCAAGCAATTAATCCACACTAGTAACAATATAATGATTGTATGCGAGCTGCCTAGACCGGGCTTGCTTGTTATGATTGTATACGTGAGGTTTTTAAAAGCTTCGAAGTACAGTCAGACGTCACTTATCCGGTCCTCTTTTATCCAGATCCCTCGCCATCCGGAAGAAAATCCGACGGTTGGTTACCGATTTACAGCATATGCCATGCATACATACATACAATACGGGTGTTCGATTATCCGGTTCCCTCGCCAGCCGGATATTTTTTTCTTCGGCGAAAAACGGATGTGCGCGGTTATGCGAGGTCTGACTGTAGTACTAGTAGACATACAGGAGACACGTGTACATGACGATTGTATCCTGTATGTGTTTAGAACTGATTCGATTTTTTTTATAAAGTGTGAAATCTGTTCGAAACTGACGGCACTGACTGTATTTTCCACGGCATTAGATCGTGTGTCATGAATTCTTCCATTGCTGCATTGCACATCCTGCACATAACAATCACACGTTGTTCAAATACAACACGTCGCGCTGCATACTCACCTCCTCTAGCTCCGTGCCCTGGCCGGCAGGTCTCGATGAGCGACTGTTCAAGCAGCCCATCCTAATTATTACCAGTATCTACCGGTACTTCAAACGCACGCCAGTCATTCCCCTAGAAACGCGTCATACTGGGCACTCAGCGCAGACCCAGATGACTTGAGTCACTACTAGTACTACTACGACTACTACTAGTACAAGTTAGTTCCAGAACTCCTCTCGACTTAGCGGGCGTCATTCACCTGAATCCACCATTGACAAAATCCACTACTGCCTGGCACTAGCAGAAAATCACAGTACTCAGTTACTTATTTCTTCATCGTTTTCAGCTTTGCGCACTATGTCAGTATGTGTAGACTCTACTGTCTGTGCAAGTGCCACAGACTCAGTACTCCGTAGACCTAGTAGTAGATCCTCTACCCGATGTAGACAGGTGTTTTCCTGCTCATTCCCCTTGCATGCCATGCTGGCCTTTCATCGACCGTTCCATAAAACATGACAAAAGGCTAGCTCATTATGATGCTGATGAGCTAGCCAGTGTCAACGAATCGATGTCAGCTGACAGGTCACGACGTCGTTGCGTTCTCCCGGGATCCCTAGACCCATGTACTCTTCCGGATCCCCTCCTTGCCCAGGCTTGGGCTTGTTGGGCCAGCTTCCCCAACATAAATCAAAGGACTTAGGTGCATGTGGAACCACGGTACGCGGTCGAGGCATCAGCTCTAGAACCATCAGAACGTCATGCTCAAACTATGCCCGATTATCTGGTTATGCCCAGGTCATAGTGCCATTAGTGACCAAACTAACTAAAGTTCAAGTACTAGTACTTCGGAAGTCAACAGCAGAAGCCATGAAGACTCAAGAGTGAACGCTGAAATACCGTTATCATGGTTCTAGCGGACAGTAAAGTTGAAATGTCTGAACGGGTAGATCGACGGCCGTGGATGATCTGACCAGCCACTGGCAGCCAGGCGGAGAGAAACGTAACGTTAGGCGTAAACATTAGTAAACAGATCTCACTCAGAAGCCGATGATGTATTTGCACGATTTATATTACCTT